AAGACAGTACTTATGATGGTCCAAAGTTTGAGAGTGAAGAGCCCAAAATCAAAATGACAACAAACCTCAAAAATGACGTAAATGCCTAAAATGAGTAGGATTGTGCTAATATATGCCAGCTCTTACGTCGAATAGGACGAGACGCCTTGGGAGGCGAAGATGATTACGCTAAGTTTTTTGTTTATTATCACATTCTTAGAGATATTTTTGATTTATTGCAGTGTGTGTCTATTTTTTGAAGTTGATGCAGTTCTCTTTGATAATGAATATGAGTATTTTGTATGGTTTTATCTATTAACTATGAATTAGAATATTATCGTTTCATTTCGATGGGTCTATTTTGTATAGATTTTTTTTAAACCTTTTACACATTGACCTCGGGAATGAAAATTCCTGGATCCGCAATTGTTGCATTGCACAGTAATTCCAATGGTTTGCATTACTAAAGGTGCGAAGGCTTCTCTGGACAAAGTACTGGCTGAAAACGCTGAGGTAGAAGAAGGCATATTGTCACCTTCTTCCATGCTACCCCCTATTGTAGCAGATTCATCCTTGGATCTTCAGAAGCCTCATAATCCCGGTAGACTCGGACCCCTTAATCACGAAAAATAATTACAAACTCAATGTAAATTTATTTCTCATTTACTAATTATTTTGTGGTATAGATGTGATTTTTCTTTTCTTTTGCTTAGGAATGAACTGCAAAGGAACAAAAGAGAGAAGAAAGTTTGCCTCCCTAGCATTCGTGTACATCACCCACACTCAGTGGGCTTGCCAATCCAATCTAGCTTTTCACATGTAGTAACAATTCATTGAACATAGAAATGATTGTTTTCAAAGTCAATTGTGCGCTTTTCAATTCAGCATATCTACTACTAGAGAGAGAAAAAAAAAAGTAAATTTAGTTTTGAGAAATACACAGTTTTCTTGCACTAATAAATTAATAATTAAACGTGTTGACCATCGAAGACGAGACACTCTGAATAACCAACCAGACCACTGAGTTTGATCACCCTAAGTAACTATCTAGTGAGAAACCATGAACAAAAGTTAATAGTTAACAACAATTCTGCATGATATTTATGGATATGAGACCAAGTATATCTATCTAATTAACTCAAGCTAATGGTTCAGAGTAATCCATTGGCAGCAGCAAAAGATCCTTGTTCTCCAACAGCTGACTTGCTGCCATTGGATTTGTCTCCAGCAATTTTCCCATCATCTCTTCAAGAGGTTCATTCAGCATCTTCTGGTGGCAAAAGTAGTGACCATATCCCTGCAAAACATAAAAGAATTATAAATCTCCCTTGCATAATATGAAAGACAAGAAGGCACCCTCATCATGGGGCTCAACTTTGGGCAAGTTAACCATTACAAGATGATTTTGCCTAACTCATAACTCAGCATAGATGAATTATATATACCTCGCGGAAAATGATAGGTTCAGTAATTGTTTCACCTCCCAATCTGCTTCTACATAAATCCTGCACAGATGAGTTCTTTTCTATTTTAACTTCATCAACATATAGATATAACTATTTCTCAAATGAAAAATAAAAAGTGCACGTAGAATCTTAACTCATTGATGTAAGAATAACAATATTCTAAAACAATCTGCTAAAGGATATTCACAATGCAACACATCAAATTGTGGTTAAGAGAAGGTGCTTTTTTGTGTTGGTTTATGCATGTTTATCTGCGAGTGCATATACAAAATCATGCAAAAACCTGTAGAGTCACACAGCATAAACAGACAGATTTACCTTTATTTGAAGCTGCAAAAACTTGATATGGTCAATTACATCATCCACTACAAATGACTGACCACCCTACACATTCAAAATAACCAGTCATGTATAGATGGACATCTGACCACATTCTCCAGATAAAATAATTTCGCCACATATTAGCATTGAACCTCCATATGGTACTGGACATCAGAATCTGAGGCAGCATTTTCATATATGTGACAATTATTGAATCTTATACGCACTCCCATTTCAGGAGGAAGACACGATTTGTTTTGTAAGTCTACTCTGTATAGCCTAGACTTGATCTTTACCGATAAGCTTAGTATGTCAGTGAATGTATTACACATCAAACTCTAATTATTCTGACCCAAAAAATCAAACTCTAATTATTTTTATAGACAGACTCGACTGCATTTGTTTATTAAGTTGCCTGTTCTCTTTGTCGTTTGATGACAAACTATTACGGTTGGGGTCATCCAAGTGAGAAAATACAAACATAAAACAATATTCGTTGACAAGTCATTAAGAAAACCCTCTTCAGCGGAGCTAGTACAGGAGCAACTCCATGCATTCTTTCTCAATATACACACATTACCTCTGTGGATATTGGAAGCAGTTCTCGCAATGCATCAAGTCTTTCAGCAATTCGCATCCTGCGACTCTGAATTAATAAGAGACCAGTTTTAGAAACTAAACATATCCAAGAAAATCCATCTACACCAATTTACAAACATCATAACTCGAGGTGAACAGAACAAGTAATGGTGTTGTCTGTCATTTGAATGGAAAATGGCATGAATCTTGACCAGTTCAGTTTATCTAGTCAAAGAATTTGGCTTACACGATCAGTTAGAGCAGCTCTCTGTGTCGAAATGTGGCGATGTGGTTGGGAATGAAAATCAGGTAAAGCACTTCTTGCTCTTGGATCAACTTGAGAAACACCATCCTTTTTATCCCCATATAAATTATCTGTCCTTGAAGTATGATACTGTACGAAGTATATCGCACAGCATTATCATGATAAAGTTCTCAAAATTGAAAAACATTATAGTTGAAATGATTGCTTGACGCAATTGCAGCTGAATGTGAAATTAATGAAAGTTGTTAAAAAATAACTTAACCTTGTCGTGAAATTGATGTTGTGCATTCACAAGTTCGTCATTCACTGGCCTCAGACATCTCACCTGCTCGGAAAATTCAATGAAGGACCACAACAAGAGGAGTTGGATGAACATATATACATATGACCACTAGGACAATTAATGCTGCAAAATGCCCATTCTAGAGACAATCAGACAGGAAAGTTCTAACCATAAGTATCAAGAAAGGAAAGGAAGAGCTTCAAACCAAAAACATTTCCAATTTATTATCTTAATGTACAGGGGATAATTTCAGGAATGTTACCTTCCAATCGTCCATGTCCATAGAGAAATCGCGTGAAGTTGATGTTGTGCATTCACAAGTTCGTCATTCACTGGCCTCAGACATCTCACCTGCTGGGAAAATTCAATGAAGGACCACAACAAGAGGAATTGGATGAACATATATACATATGACCACTAGGACAACTAATGCTGCAAAATACACATTCTAGAGACAATCAGACAGGAAAGTTCTAACCATAAGTATCAAGAAAGGAAAGGAAGAGCTTCAAACCAAAAACATTTCCAATTTATTATCTTAATGTACAGGGGATAATTTCAGGAATGTTACCTTCCAATCGTCCATGTCCATAGAGAAATCAGTTAGTTTAGAACCGCAAGCATTTCCCAGACTGCTGTACAACACATGTCTTTGAAATTCAGAGACCCCACCGACATCATCTGTGCCAGAAACAGATAAAGGAATGCTTTCTAATATATCTTCACAAGGATCCTTTGGGAGAAATGTTGAACTTTCTGCTAGAAACTCAACACAATTGAGAGAATTGAGAGATGGCTTTGGTTTTTCAGTCCACCAAGGTGAAAAAAGATCATCAGTTTGGTATGCAGTCCCTTCAGTTGCCATGCTAACTTGTTGGCTTGGATCATCTCCAGTTGCCTGAGAGACATCAATGGCAGCATCCCCACAAAAATCCAACGGCACCAATTGCATCGGGTCGGTGAGGCTACTCTGTCCTTCCATACGAACCAGAGGCAAAAGACCTTCAGCCTTAACAAAACACAAACAAAGAGACGGCATTAACTACCATTATATAATATAATACCATCCAAATGATATTCTCATGAGCTTCACTAACATAACATTAGAAGAATGACATGAAATTCCAATTAGAAGCTAGTAACACAAGTAAGTGACAAACAAATATTAGGGTGGCAAAAGGCCTAATCTAATTGGGATGCTCTCAGATTCTGGGTTTAAAACCCATTTTCATGCTAACAACCCTCCAAATTGTCAACCCAAGATAATAAATAAGCCAAGCTAGTACTTAGTACCAAGAAACAATCAGTATTATAGTATCAACTACAAGCAATTGATGTTCATCAAAATAATGCAAAAAAGGAAAAATATTTGACATTTATGACAGAATCAACAAGGAGGACAAGAAGAAATGAGATGGGTTTTTTCTAAGACAAACATTACCTTTATGTGACAAGAGCAAGCGAGAGAACGGCTTGCAGATGAAGAGGGTGAGCTCGTAGTTAGGGTTTCGCCAGAGAGAAAGAGAATATGCCGCCGGTGAGTTATTCGCGCGGTTTTGCCTGCATTATGTTGGTGTACTGCACTGCAGTGGTACGTACATGCGAGCTTTTTCAGAGGAGTGCAGGTCAGCACGTGAAAAACCTATAGTACCCTTGTAGTCTTTAGTTAATGGCTAATGACCTTTTTCTTTTTGTGGTGAAATGGCTAATGACTTTTAATGGAGAAAGACGCCAGCAGCAGCTAGGCCCAAACCAAATAATAGATCGGGAAAGTTAACAAACTTAACCACCGGAGAAAGACGCCAGCCCAAACCAACACAAAACAAACACTAGAGTTGAGAGGGCTAAGCAGAAAACTAAGCAGCAAAACAAGGGGAGCCATCTGAGCAGAGCAGCAGGCCGAAACTCTAACCAACCAACTAAGCCACAGCAGGCCGGAGGTCCAGAACCCAAATGAACCAAAACTCCAACCAACCAACACCATTCATATGTGCTACTAGGATTACCCGTCTGTCTTTCTTCGAACCACGTGGTTGATTGGGTCATGTGCCACGTGTCCACAGTCCCAAACTCACAGGACCAAGTAAAATGGTTTTCCGTGTGGCATCAAACGTTGCTACATAAGTATATTCCACTGTCGTCTCTCCCTCTCTTCCGTATTTCTAAGGCCTTGTTTGGTTGGGTTGCCCCTCGTTTCTCATTGCCTTTCACAAAAGAGTTTCGGCCTTGCTCTCTCTCTTATCTGTTCCTCAAAACCCATTAGCGCAGAAAACACCCGCGAACCCAGAAGAAGAAGAAGAAGAAGAAGATTCAAAGCCATAGGCTTTAGATCCGCTCTGTATCCAATCAATCATGGCGACTCCTGAAATTCTTAACAGAGAAGACGGCCTTTTCCTCTCCTCTCCTCTCCTGGAACCTCGAAATGGTACCTCTCTCTCTCTCTCTCTCTTCTTTTTTATCCAATGGATTTATAGCTCATGATATAGAATAAAGTCTTGTAAAGTTGTAGACTTGGACTTTTTGGTGATTAGTGTGGAGTGAAACACCGTCTGTGGATTTTGGGTATTGATGGGATTTTGATTCTATTCTCTGCATTTTATGTTTATTTTGAATAAATGACCCAGATCATGTACTGATGTCTTCTGTCAAGTTTACTGTTAGTCGTTTTTTAATTTGTAAATCTATTTGTGATGCCCCTGTTACTGCTAGAATTTCTCCATTTAAAAGTGGTGTTTTTGGGCAGGAGAGAGTGACAAATCTCGTGGCATGTCAATTGAGAAGAAGATTGAGTTTCTTGAGAGCTTGGCTGGAACGGTACCATTGTGATTTGTTTTGATTTAGAAAGGATTGTGATTGTTGTATAATAAAAATTGATTTGAAAAACGGACTTACAGTTTTGACGTCATTTGTTCCGACTCAATTTAGATCAACAGTTAGTGTTAATGTTAAGTCAATTGCAAATCTGTTGTGTTTTTTTGCCTATTTTATGAACTTTACTCACATGGTAATATTGAATCTTGCTTTCTCTTTGTATAGTTCATGGATAAGATAGAACTAGTGAACCTAATTGATATATTTTATGATTTAAAGGGGTAGCAATACTCTTTTTACTTAATTGAAACTACATTTTAGCATTTGGTGTCTCTCCGCAATGGTTATTCAAATAGCAAATTACCACTAACAGTAGCATACAGCTTTAATAAGCTTTATGCTAATTGAATAACCAAAATGGTTATTTTAGTTACATAAAAGACTTGTACTATTTGGTGGAGCTAGAACAAGTTGCCAAATTGGCATATTAATTACAGATATGCTCGTTTTGGTGAATATGTGTCAAGTTTGTCGTGTTTCTCTATCAATGGAAATTTTGTGTTTCCAATAAAAAGATCTAGTGAAATTCCAATAATTATAAATTAGCTCTAGTGAGCCGAAAAAGATTGTATAACTGGACAAGTTGGAAATATTATGTTTCATTTAGAGTTACAGTTCATCATTAGGATTTTGGTACGATCATTTATTTTGTCACAATAGATTGCATTAATCCTTCCAAAAAAGTATGAGCTTGAAGAGTGACTAGTCTTCTACTAAAATGAGAAATTATTTTCTGTATTTGATTCATGTTATGACTTTTTTTGCTTTGGCAGGTAAGCAACAGACGGTCTCGAAGATGGATAAACGATCGTCTTTTGATGGAACTTGTTCCTCGTCTAAATGCAGAAGAAATTAGAGGCTTGTTTGCTCCACCACCTTGGGGTACTCATTTGGCTAAAAGAAATATCTCTTGATATAACTGTTTGATGCATTGCTCACCCATTAGTACTTCTATTTTTACCATATATTGTTGAAAGTTTCTGTGATTATTGAACTCACCCGCATTTACTCTGCAGTGGTCTATTTATGGTTATTTCTGTTTAGAAAATCTCATATCAACATTGGGTTTGGTTTGAATGTACAGGTGATGATGTACCGCTGTCACCATTTTGCATGACTAATGTACGAGAGTGGGACACATTTAGGAATATAGACATGGACAAACAGGTCCTTCGGCCACTCTCATTCACTGAAAACTTGTTTCAATCTTTTAATTCCTTGCAATCCGATGATTTAAGATGCTATGAAGTTATTACTAGAATTAAATTCATTTATTTGAGTAGCCATATGAAGGCCCAACCTTTAGAGTTGCATTTAAATTGTCTTGATACCATTAAGGTAGCTGATTATGTGCCCTTTTGAAATTATTGATTTATCAATCAGTATGTGTATCCGTGTGTGTGGGTATGGTTCATTTTTAGATGTTACCTGGTTGCATGCCCTGACTCTAGCCTTTATTTCGTTTTGACAGGCTAATATCATTGGTTCCTCAATAAGCTCCTGTGCAAAGAATAAGGGTCCTGTTGATGCTGATAAAATGGCTGTGTTAAATGCATGGCGAAGGATTGATTCTCGAACAAGACAGGCACTTCGTCGTGGCGTTGTTTCAGAGCTTATTGAGTGCTATGAGGTGAATGCAATTCTTTATGTTGTTTGTTGGTTTCCTTTATTGGTATAGACAGGTTTTTGCATCACATTTCCATCTTCACCATCTTTGGCATGCATGTTTCCATGTTCATCTTTCTTTAAATCAAATTGTAACCCAACATAATCTTTTATTGTCATTGAGTAGAAAATTTCTTTTTTGTCTCAGGAGCGCATAAGGGCTTTTGTGAGAGAGACTGAAGATGGAGATGGTCTCATCCTGCAGGTTCAAGATCCTTTCCGTCGATTGTTGCTCCATGGTGTTTGTGAGGTACATTTTCTCACTTATCATTCATGATGCATTATGGAGCTATGCATTTAAAATTATCGCACATCCGGATTACTCGGTTTGCATGGCATCAGTCGCCACCTAAAAACTAGAAGGTGGTAAAATTGTTACTCAATTCTTATCAGAGCTTTCTTGGAAGTAATCTAATATGCACAAACTGGTTTTTGAACAGTTCTACAACTTGGTGTCGGTGACGGTTACTGAATCAGAGAATGGGGAGGCAATTAAGGTGACAAAGATAACAAAGAAAAAGGGGCGTTCAATTGAACTTCCAAATATCACTCTATCCCATTTCTTGAAGATGTCCAAGCAAGGAATGTGGTGATTCCATTTCCATTTGGTTAACTTAAAATGTATAATAAAATCTGGGCGTACTGTGGTGTCAGTAACCTTGTGTGTTAGCAGCATGATGTAAATTATCAAGTCACTTTGCCCTGATTATTAGCTCCTGTAAATTATCTAGGTTTGTTTTCCGTGAAAAGATTTTCTAAATGTACTATATCCGTCAGTCAACGAATGAAGTTGATTGTAAATTTAGGACATGTGATTATAATTTACAAATTTGTTTTTCTTCAGAAATTATTATTGGCATTCCTCAAGAAGGAAAGGGTAAATGAAAGTACTCTCATAAGCCATTACTCCAATGAAAGTATTATAAAATCAAAAAATAAATGCACTATTTTCGGCAGACTACAGCAGTAAAGATTAAAAATGGAAATAGCAGCACTTTTATTTGGACGAGTGGTTTTTGAAAATTATGTTTAGGCTTGGTCCAGGGGAAAAGAACAGGATATGTTCTGGCCCCACAATCAGAGTAGGTGATGGTTAGGTGGTCGGGAAATCAAGTGGACTCCACTCGAAAAGAAAAAAAAAATAACACTGACCTTCGGACCAGCTGCCGGCGGACCGCGATGTTGTTGAGTTGAGTAACTCTCTTTGCTTCTGCTGTATTTTTCTGCATGATCAAATTTCAATCTTCCATGGCGAAGAAACCAGTGAAATACTCCGTGGTACTTAATCTTTCTCTTCTGTATGTAATGCGTTGCGCTCAAGCAGATTGTTAAGAATTTGAGTGTTGAAATGGATGAGTTGTGTGTATGCAGGTGGATGCCTTCACTGAATCAGCTTTCAAGGGAAACCCAGCAGCGGTTTGCTTGTTAGAAGACGATAGAGACGACCAGTGGTTGCAGGCCGTGGCCTCCGAGTTCAATCTATCCGAGACTTGTTATCTGACTCGGGTCACCGATTCTACGCCTACTTCAGCTCCTAGGTTTGGTCTCAGATGGTTCACGCCTACCAATGAGGTCTTAGCTCACCCTCTGTTCAATTAGTGTTTGATTTCACAAAATCAAAAGGATAGATCTTTATAACCCCTGTTCATTTTTAAAAAAATAGGATCGATCTTTATAGTTTTGTTGGTTTTTAGTTCTTCATAACAAGGTTGAATTGAAGTGTGAAATTCAGCGAAAAGATTTGAGTGTATCAAAATCTTCAACAGTCATGAATTCAGTAAAAAAATGGTTCCTTTTAGCCTTTTAGTGTGTGGGTTTATTTAAAAAAGTAACTCGTTTAACTCCAGTTTCCCTGGATTTGATGTGCTTAACTGGTATTTGATAATTTGATGTCTTGATTTTGTCACTGATGCATAAAGTAGAGCATGCATACTAGGCACTACTATTGGCAAATTTGATATCTTAGAAAAGTAAATCAAGCTTGGAAAATTGATACCCTTTTGCAGGTTGAGCTTTGTGGTCATGCAACATTAGCGGCTGCATACACTCTCTTTAAGTCTGGTTTGATAAATTCCAACTTTATTGAGTTTGCTACATTATCTGGAATCCTAACAGCTAAAAAGGTTCCAGATGTTAAGACAGCCAATGGTTCAAATAATATTCAAAATGGTGAAGCACAAAAGTCCTATTTCATTGAACTGAATTTTCCTGTCGACCCATCTTATGAATTCAACTCTAGTGAGGTTTCATTGATCTCCGAGGCCTTGGATGGTGCTTCTATGATTGATATAAGGAGGACACATGTCACCGACAATCTACTTGTACATCCTGCAACCCTTCTAGAAAATCTCTATATATTATGCTTACCATCGATATAAGCTTCTTACTTTTTGTTTTCGATGGATTAGGCCTTTATTTTTTTGGCTTATCTATGGAGTCTAGATGTTCTCATAAATGAGGACTTGTTTCAATTTGCAGGTTGTGCTTCCATCAGCAAAAGCTGTTGTAGATTTACAGCCAAAGCTTGATGCAATCCAAAAATGTCCAGGGTCTGGGGGAGTGATTGTAACAGGGATTGCTCCTCCAGAGTCTGAATATGATTTTTACAGTAGATTCTTCTGCCCTAAACATGGGATTGATGAGGTAAGCAGCTTTAATTTATTTTCTGATCAAGTTTCTTTCAAGTGCCTGATATTAGGAACCCAAGTTTGTTGCATATTTCTTTTAGCTTTGCTATGATAAATGTGACGATTATGTATCTGGATTTATAACCCCACCTCCTTTTTGTTTTTCTGCTAAGGTGGATTTAAACCATTTGAATAACCTGCTTGGAACCTTTTCATGTGTCTTTTGCTGTTTGTTTTGTGTCAGTTTTCAGTTGTGCTGAACTCAAGGAATAACTGGAATATATCTGGCTTATGAACTAAAATTGATATAAGGCTGAATAGTGTTACTTGTTTATACATTTCAGGATCCTGTTTGTGGGAGCGCACATTGTGCCTTAGCATCGTACTGGTGCAAAAAACTGGGAAAGTCTGATGTTTTTGCATATGCGGTACTCTCTCCCTCTCCCTCTTTGTGTTCTTATCGTAAGATTCAAAACTTTACTTGTTCACCTCATATGTTGATACATTATTGTTTACTTTCAGGCATCGCCTCGAGGGGGAGCAGTAAGCATTCATCTAGATGAGCAGAATCAGAGGGTGCTGCTGCGAGGGAAAGCTGTTACTGTGATGGAAGGAACTGTCTTAGTTTAAACTTTTTAGATTGTATTGCCAAGTACAAAAATTTGAAATAAATGACTGAATTGGTGGAATAAAAAACCCCCATTAAATTTGAATATAATTCAAATTCGGGCTATTTGTTTTGATTACCCTGGATATTGTGCTTTCTGAATTCTCTATCTTGGCATCTTGAAAGGTGTTGTTGCTGCCCAACTTTGCTGAAGTTGGGTTAGTCTAAAATAAAAGGGATTATATTGGACTTGGTTCCAAAATGAACATAAACAAATAAAAAGACCATGACGGCCTTATCAATCGTATCATGTATGATTGAAATGGCAGTTGGGCTTGTGTGAGAGAGAGGATACTCTGCCTGCCACCATCCCAGCTGCAAAATGCCATATGGAGCACAAGATGGGCTCAAATCAAATGGCAGTGCTCCAAAACTGGCCTAACGTTTAAAAGCAACCTTCTTCAATGACCACAATTCTATACCATAAAATAATCAACTATGTCGAACATGACATGACTAAGAAAAATCGTTTAAAACTGTGGTAAACTTGGGACTGTGACCTAGTAAATAAAACCTATTAGGAATTTAGAGATCATGCAATTGTGGCTACAATATGAATGGAGGGTTTTTTTTTTTGTTAGTTCAACAAAATGGATGGTCATGATTATCAGATTAGTATTGTCAAGGAGGATGATAGGCCTCATGGTGGAGGAAGCAGCAGCAGCAATGTTAATAAATACTGGGCCCTCTAAAATAATTCAATGTCCAAAAACAAAACTTTCCTTGAGTATTAAACTTACAATCAACACCATTCGTTGACTGACGTAAATAATACATTTGACATAAGTTGATTGTAAGTTTAGGACTCAAGGAGATTAATATTTAAACAACGTTTTTCTTCCGACATTACTGTTAGCTCTGGGTACCTACAGTTATCTTGCAGAAAACCCGACAACAGATGAGATAAATCCCACGTGTTTTAGTCTTGCTGTAGATCTATGCACATGTTTGTAGTCTTGTTGCTCTAGAGATTTCCTCCGCCCCCATGAGCATTTTGTTTCAGCCACTAGCTTGTGACTTCATCTAGAATATTTTGCATATTCATTTAGTTTGTCGACATTGTTCTTGAGCTCCTTTATTTTGTTTTGTGCTTGTTCATTTGAGTGCTAGGCTTAATCTAACTCCAACAGTCTTCCATGGCGAAGAAACCCGTAAAATACTCTGTGGTACTCTCTCTCGTCTCGTGTAACATACATATATATAATGCGGCTGCGCTGCGTGCATTTTAATAAGATGTGAGTGTTGAAATATGGATGTGCTGTGCTGTGTGTGTGCAGGTGGATGCGTTCACTGACTCAGCTTTCAAGGGGAACCCGGCAGCGGTTTGCTTGTTAGAGGAAGACAGAGACGACCATTGGTTGCAAGCCGTGGCCTCCGAGTTTCAGAGCTTATTGAGTGCTATGAGGTGAATGCAATTCTTTATGTTGTTTGTTGGTTTCCTTTATTGGTATAGACAGGTTTTGGCATCACATTTCCATCTTCACCATCTTTGGCATGCATGTTTCCATGTTCATCTTTCTTTAAATCAAATTGTAACCCAACATAATCTTTTATTGTCATTGAGTAGAAAATTTCTTTTTCCTCTCAGGAGCGCAGAAGGGCTTTTGTGAGAGAGACTGAAGATGGAGATGGTCTCATCCTGCAGGTTCAAGATCCTTTCCGTCGATTGTTGCTCCATGGTGTTTGTGAGGTACATTTTCTCACTTATCATTCATGATGCATTTAAAATTATCGCACATTGGGATTACTCGGTTTGCATGGCATCAGTCGCCACCTAAAAGAAATAGTACCTGATACTAGAAGGTGGTAAAATTGTTACTCAATTCTTATCAGAGCTTTCTTGGAAGTAATCTAATATGCACAAACTGGTTTTTGAACAGTTCTACAACTTGGTGTCGGTGACGGTTACTGAATCAGAGAATGGGGAGGCAATTAAGGTGACAAAGATAACAAAGAAAAAGGGGCGTTCAATTGAACTTCCAAATATCACTCTATCCCATTTCTTGAAGATGTCCAAGCAAGGAATGTGGTGATTCCATTTCCATTTGGTTAACTTAAAATGTATAATAAAAGCTGGGCGTGCTGTGGTGTCAGTAACCTTGTGTGTTAGCAGCATGATGTAAATTATCAAGTCACTTTGCCCTGATTATTAGCACCTGTAAATTATCTAGGTTTGTTTTCTGTGAAAAGATTTTCTAAATGTACTATATCCGTCAGTCAACGAATGAAGTTGATTGTAAATTTAGGACATGTGATTATAATTTACAAATTTGTTTTTCTTCAGAAATTATTATTGGCAACAAGAAAGAAAGGGTTAATGAAAGTACTCTCATAACCCATTACTCCAGTGAAAGTATTATAAAATCAAAAAAGAAATGCACTATTTTCGTCTGACTACAACGGGAGAGATTTTTTCTTTTGGTCGAAAAAACAACAGAAAAGATTAAAAATGGAAATAGCAACACTTTTATTAGAACGAGTGGTTTTATAAAAATAAAGCACTTTATGATGCTTCTATGCTTCTGGGTCGCATAAATGCTTTCTGAAGGAAGTACTCTCTCGGTGCTTTTGAATTTCTTATGAAAATTTCAACATTTCTAGTGCCTTCTTACATAAATGCTTTCTAAAGAAGTACTCTCTCAGTGCTTTTGAATTTCTTATGAAAATTTCAACATTTTTAGCTTTTGATAGAAGAGAAACAGTCAAAAACCACACCGACTCTCTCAAATATGATGATACATTATGTTTAGGCTTGGGCAAGGGGAAAAGAACAGGATATGTTCTGGCCCCACATAGTAGGTGATGGTTAGGTGGTCGGGAAATCAAGTGGACTCCACTCGAAACGAAAAAAAAAATAACACTGACATTTGGACCAGCCGCCAGCGGACCGCGATGTTGTTGAGTTGACTGACTCTCTTTGCATGTGCTGTATTTTTCTGCATGATCAAATTTCAATCTTCCATGGCGAAGAAACCAGTGAAATACTTCGTGGTACTTAATCTTTCTCTTCTGTATGTAATGCGTTGCGCTCAAGCAGATTGATAAGAATTTGAGTGTTGAAATGGATGAGTTGTGTGTATGCAGGTGGATGCCTTCACTGAATCAGCTTTCAAGGGAAACCCAGCAGCGGTTTGCTTGTTAGAAGAAGATAGAGACGACCAGTGGTTGCAGGCCGTGGCCTCCGAGTTCAATCTATCCCAGACTGGTTATCTGACTCGGGTCACCGATTCTACGCCTACTTCAGCTCCTAGGTTTGGTCTCAGATGGTTCACGCCTACCAATGAGGTCTTAGCTCACCCTCTGTTCAATTAGTGTTTGATTTCACAAAATCAAAAGGATAGATCTTTATAACCCCTGTTCATTTTTAAAAAAATAGGATCGATCTTTATAGTTTTGTTGGTTTTTAGTTCTTCATAACAAGGTTGAATTGAAGTGTGAAATTCAGCGAAAAGATTTGAGTGTATCAAAATCTTCAACAGTCATGAATTCAGTAAAAAAATGGTTCCTTTTAGCCTTTTATGTGTGGGTTTATTTAAAAAAGTAACTTGTTTAACTCCAGTTTCCCTGGATTTGATGTGCTTAACTGGTATTTGATAATTTGATGTCTTGATTTTGTCACTGATGCATAAAGTAGAGTATGCATACTAGGCACTACTATTGGCAAATTTGATATCTTAGAACAGTATATCAAGCTTGGAAAATTGATACCCTTTTGCAGGTTGAGCTTTGTGGTCATGCAACATTAGCGGCTGCATACACTCTCTTTAAGTCTGGTTTGATAAATTCCAACTTTATTGAGTTTGCTACATTATCTGGAATCCTAACAGCTAAAAAGGTTCCAGATGTTAAGACAGCCAATGGTTCAAATAATATTCAAAATGGTGAAGCACAAAAGTCCTATTTCATTGAACTGAATTTTCCTGTCGACCCATCTTATGAATTCAACTCTAGTGAGGTTTCATTGATCTCCGAGGCCTTGGATGGTGCTTCTATGATTGATATAAGGAGGACACATGTCACCGACGATCTACTTGTAAATCCTGCAACCCTTCCAGAAAATCTCTATATATTATGCTTACCATCGATATAAGCTTCTTACTTTTTGTTTTTGATGGATGAGGCCTTTATTTTTTTGGCTTATCTGTGGAGTCTAGATGTACTCTTAAATGAAGACTTGTTTCAATTTGCAGGTTGTGCTTCCATCAGCAAAAGCTGTTGTAGATTTACAGCCAAAGTTTGATGCAATCCAAAAATGTCCAGGGTCTAGGGGAGTGATTGTAACAGGGATTGCTCCTCCAGAGTCTGAATATGATTTTTACAGTAGATTCTTCTTCCCTAAACTTGGGATTTATGAGGTAAGCAGCTTTGATCAAGTTTCTTTCAAGTGCCTGATATTAGGAACCCAAGTTTGTTGCATATTTCTTTTAGCTTTGCTATGCTAAATGTGAAGATTATGTATCTGGATTTATAACCCCACCTCCTTTTTGTTTTTCTGCTAAGGTGGATTTAAACCATTTGAATAACCAGCTTGGAACCTTTTGTGTATCTTTTGCTGTTTGGTTTATGTCAGTTTTCAGTTGTGCTAAACTCAAGGAATAACTGGAATATATCTGACTTATGAACTAAAATTGATATAAGGCTGAATAGTGTTACTTGTTTATATCTTTCAGGATCCTGTTTGTGGGAGCGCACATTGTGCCTTAGCATCGTACTGGTGCAAAAAACTGGGAAAGTCTGATGTTTTTGCATATGCGGTACTCTCTCCCTCTCCCTTTTTGTGTTCTTATCGTAAGATTCAAAACTTTACTTGTTCACCTCATATGTTGATACATTATTGTTTACTTTCAGGCCTCGCCTCGAGGGGGAGCAGTAAGCATTCATCTAGATGAGCAGAATCAGAGGGTGCTGCTGCGAGGGAAAGCTGTTACTGTGATGGAAGGAACTGTCTTAGTTTAAACTTTTTAGATTGTATTGCCAAGTACAAAAATTTGAAATAAATGACTGAATTGGTGGAATAAAAAACCCCCATTAAATTTGAATATAATTCAAATTCGGGCTATTTGTTTTGATTATCCTGGATATTGTGCTTTCTGAATTCTCTATCTTGGCATCTTGAAAGGTGTTGCTTCTGCCCAACTTTCATCTCTGCTGAAGTTGGGTTAGTCTAAAATAAAAGGGATTATATTGGACTTGGTTCCAAAATGAACATAAACAAATAAAAGACCATGACGGCCTTATCAATCGCATCATGTATGATTGAAATGGCAGTTGGGCTTGTGTGAGAGAGAGGATACTCTGCCTGCCACCATCCCAGCTGCAAAATGGCGTATGGAGCACAAGATGGGCTCAAATCAAATGGCAGTGCTCCAAAACCGGCCTAACGTTTAAAAGCTACCTTCTTCAATGACCACAATTCTATACCATAAAATAATCAACTATGTCGAACATGACATGACTAAGAAAAATCGTTTAAAACTGTGGTAAACTTGGGACTGTGGCCTAGTAAGTAAAACCTATTAGGAATTCAGAGATCATGCAATTGTGGCTACAATATGAATGGAGGGTTTTTTTTTTTTTTGGGTTGGTTTAACAAAATGGATGGTCATGATTATCAGATCAGTATTGTCAAGGAGGATGATCGGCCTCACGGTGGAGGAAGCAGCAGCAGCAATGTTAATAAATAAGGGTTAATTATGTACATGCTCCCTGTGCTTTCCAACTTGTCTCAGATTACCACTTGTGTTTGCAAGCGTCTCAAAATACCCCCCAACCTTTGAAAAACAGTCTCAAGTTACTCATTCCGTCAGTATTATAGACGTTCCGTTACGTGCTTTGGGCCCCACTTCGTTTTAATCTTTAACCTTTGCGAATAAGGGTTTTTCTGTTCTAAGAAAGAGGGAAATTGGGTATTTGGGTGAGAAGGGGAGATTTGGAGAAGAAGGCTAGGGCTTTTGCAAAATCTGAGGTGGGGTTCGAACTTTGGAGCCTCCTAATTTGGAATTTCCGTCATTCTACTCATTGAAGGCTGTAAGAAGGACAAAGGTTGATCCTTGTGTTGTTGATGCTGCTGACAAAGATTTGGTAGTTGTTGGTGAACCAGACTTGGGATTAATGTCTGCAACTGGTGCCACTTCTTTGCCTCAAACATTTGTTCCACCTGGGATTACTTCTGAGGTTAACTTCAAGGTTTTGGGCATTTCCAATCCCCCTTCTTGGAGTGTTATGTTAGCAGATGATGCAGGTGGAACCCAACTTGTCCAAGTTCCAAAGGCTCCTATCGTGGAAGGATTGCCTCTGCCTTCAGACTTACAGGAGCCTCACCAGGCTGCTTACAAGTATTTCTTGGAGCTTATTGCTAGTCTGAAGCATATGCTTTCAACAAGGGAGGTTGAGGATTGGGTCCATGAGTCAGCCATCCAAAAGAGAGCTCGGCACCAAATGGGGACACTACAGGAGGTCAACTTGAAGCATGAGGAGTAGACATATGAATTACCAAAGAGAACAATCATTTTCACAAACCCTAAGCCCTCTTCTCCAATTTCCCCTTCTTACCCAATTTCCCCCTTTCTTAGAACTGAAAAACCCTTATTCGCAGAGATTAAAGATTAAAACCAAGTGGGGCCCAAAGCACGTAACGGAACGTCTCTAATACTGACGGAATGGGTAACTTGAGATCGTTTTTCAAAGGTTATGGGGTATTTTGAGACGTTTGCAAACACATGTGGTAATCTGAGATAAGTTGGAAAGCACAGGGGGCATGTACATAATTAAGCCAATAAATAATGGGCCCTCTAAAATAATACAATGTCCAAAAACAAAACTTTCCTTGAGTACTAAACTTACAATCAACACCATTCGTTGACTGACGTAAATAATACATTTTGACATAAGTTGATTGTAAGTTTAGGACTCAAGGAGATTAATATTTAAACAACGTTTTTCTTCCGACATTACTGTTAGCTTTGGGTACCTACAGTTATCTTGCAGAAAACCCGACAACAGATGAGATAAATCCCACGTGTTTTAGTCTTGCTGTAGATCTATGCACATGTTTGTAGTCTTGTTGCTCTAGAGATTTCCTCCACCCCCATGAGCATTTTGTTGCAGCCGCTAGCTTGTGACTTCATCTAGAATATTTTGCATATTCATTTAGTTTGTCGACATTGTTCTTGAGCTCCTTTATTTTGTTTTGTGCTTGTTCATTTGAGTGCTAGGCTTAATCAATGGCGGAGCCAAAAAATCTATCAAGAGGGGTCAACATCAAA